AATTAGTAATATTTAAATGTTTATTCTCCTGAAAAGTACTATGAAGGCAGCAGTTTGATTTCCAAAATACCTGTTTATTCCCTGTGTGGATATCGCTGTACTGAGGCCTGTGACATTGTATATCTTTTGCAGGTCTTCAGGCAGTACTACCTGAGTACCTGCGAGAACGCTTTGTTGCTGCTGCCCTAAGTTACATCACCTGCAATTCAGAGGGGGAGCTGCTCTGCCGAGATAATGACTGCTGGTGCCAATGTGGGTTTAATTACCCACAATGCAATTGTCCTGAGACTGACATCCAAACTATGGAAGAGAGCCTTTTCCAGATCCAGGAAATCTGGGAGAGTCACAACCAACAGTTTCAGGAATCAGGTGAGATGAGGATATATGGATTTTCAAGACATTGGTTTAGGAGAAGATAGATGTCACATTTTTTGAACTATGCCATCAATAGTGCCATCAGTAACAAGCATGACTCTTTCCAGTTTTAGAAAACTGTGTGTTCCCAGCATGCTCAGTTTCAAATGAGGAAAAACTGTCTGGGAAGGCCATCAAGTGGTTAGTCCTTATGACATCTTCCCTGAAGCCTGAAATGTTCTATTACTTACAAATATGAACTCACACGAATTGCAAGCCTACTGTGACTGTGGTTAATTAATTAATTATCTATATTTGTTAATCAAGCTACTCATGACTTTCAGCAGGGTACAGCAGAGGAAAAGCAAAAGCAAAAAGAACATCAAAATACATTAAAAATCTTTTTAAAAAACTTCTTACATCTGTGTCTAGAACATGGGAATTCCTAATCTTGTAAATGGCCTCATTATTATTTGGAGAAATAGGTAGCATCACCAGTCCTAATATTCCTTTGAAGCAGATATCAGTGTAGTTTCTTTCGTGAGAAGGATCAATTTTTGGAACTGATTGTCTCTCTCTTTGGAATTTCTGAAGGGATTGCCATATTAGTCTGCTGTAGAGACTACTGAGATTACATTACTGTACTGTACAGTAATGCAACACAATATATGTTAAGCTGTTTTTGACTACATTCTTCTTGTTTATTGTGTGAGTTGGTCTTATCTTTTCTAAAACCTATTGCTTTTATTTTAGAAAAGTATTACAAAGAAGTAAGGGTCTGAACTGGGATGTAGAGGACCAAAGCACTTTACTGTGGGATGGGCAACCAGAATTTATAGGCTCCATGCAGCCTCCAGACCCATTTTTGCAGCCCCTAGAACTCCCCAAGATTGTGGGAAGTTTTCAGCAGCTCAGCTTTGGAAAATAAATTCAGGACAAAAATTGTGATAGAATGAAGGCAATTATTTTATTATTTATTTATTTATTTATATTTCAAATTTGTCACTGCCCATCTCATGGCAGAGTGAGTCTGGGTGGTTTACAGTAATACATACATACATACACACATACATACATACATATAATAGAATAAATATTAATTGATTTTCCTGTAAAATCCTAAAAACCTCCTAAAAACTAGTTGAACGTTTTAACCCTGTCCCTTCTGGTAACAATTTCAGATTATTACCATGTCCTTGCAGTCCTCTAAGGATATGGATAATAAAATAATAAAAGTATGGCCCTGGCTATAAAACGTGGTTTCACCCCTATCCTACCATGATAGCTTGTTAGGAGAAAGCTGCTGATTTTCTGTTGCACTTCAGATAGTGGCATTTCAGCTCACTCTTCTCTCTCTGTCTCTCCCTCTCTGTCTCTGTAAGCATCCCTCCTGTACTTTGCACATTATTTTAGAGGTTTTTAGAGCAGGTCACATCATGGGCTTGAAGTCAGAAAGAGTGAGCAGCATGCAGAAATGTTGCTATTTGATATATTTGGATCTTCTACCTCTGACTTCAAGGAGTTTGGGCTGTGTGCATAGCTCTGTTCCCTCTCCAATTCTCTTCAAACTAACTCTGTGAGCTCAGGGTGGGAGCTATTGACTGATCCAAACTGGGCGCTCATAAAAAAAGTTTCAGGTATCTAAGTCCAACTCTCCTTGATCCAAGTCATTGCAACCCATAATAAATACCTTGCCAAATGTTCTTCCTTTATGAACTAATCATGCCTAATTCCAGGGAATTCAGTGAGGTCTGGAAATACCTTATAAAAGAAAGGTGCTTATCCTGGATTAGATGTAGGCAGGGTGATGCCCTCCAGATGTTTTGGACTGCAACTTCAATAGACCCTTGCTATTGGCTATGCTGTCTAGAACTGATGAGAATCAAAATCAAATATTTTTGAAGGGCATCAGATTGCAAACTTTCTACTAGATACTCTAGGGAGAAATATAGCTACTGTATAACCTTCCAATTGTGATAGCTTACAACAAGTGCAGCAGCCTAAGCTATATAGATGGAGCATGGTCATATAATCAGCAATAATAATCTTTAGGGGAAATCAGGCTGGCTAAATCACCCCCTTGGCCTACAGCCAACTAAATGCTGAGAGTTGTTACAGATGATTTGACCAGCAGCTGAATCAGGCCTATAAGAGCACCAGGAATCATCAGGTTGAAGGTGTGATTACTTTCATTCATTCACAAATAGAAGTCTGTTTCTAGGTTCCATGTTTCCCTCAACATGGTTGAGGGAAAAATGAAATTAGGTTTTGACATATATGGATAAGCCTAGATTTTTTTTTAGGTATTCTGTGATTGGAACATGAATGAAAATATACTTCACTCTCAAATTTCCAATACTTAAGCACTCTCACTTTCTGTATTAAAACGGAAAACATACTTTAACAACCTGTATGAAGAGTAAAACTATATGAGTAAACGTTATATAGGCTCAGAAGAATATTAGTCAGTGGACTGAGTTTTGAGAAGCCTTTCTCAAGGATGAACAATTCAACTGCTTCTCTGCATCAGTTCTGCAAGAATAATCCATTCATATCCAGTGAAGAAATACGTCAGAGAATTTCTTTCCTATAACTCAAGCTTATTGGAAAAAATATGATGATTATTATAAATCATACAAAGAATCATTTGGCACTCTCCAGTATAGTTATTAATTTATAATTTAAATTTGTGTCTTACCTTTCCATCTCTGGGGTACTCAAGACAGCTAATGGATTTTTTAAAAAATAAAATAATACACAACAGTTTAAGTCTAATTATCTGTACATAAACTGGATGGATGAAGGTTTACAGAAAATTTCATTAGTGTCTTATACATTTAGAAAAGTAATGTATGCAAGATAGTTGTTAAACTGAACATTTGAATTTTACATTTCAGTTAAAAATGTTTTTTATTTACTCTAGTAATCATTATTATTTATATAGTTCCATTAATGTGCATGGTGCATTTTTGCAAAGTAACAGTCCGAAGACTTTGCTCTGAAGAATTTACTATCTAAAATTCAAGACAAGGATTGGTTAGAAAGAGAGATGGAAGGATGTGTGTTCTGTTCAGTTGAACATTGTTTAGCTTATATTCAGTAGAAAATGAAGACATTTTTATTCTCTTTAAAATATTAGTTTATATAAAAAGAAGGCCACTTGATACAATTACATCAAATACAGGATACTTACTGGGCTTATACAATGTATGCGAACATCATAGCTCTTAAAACAAGACACAAAATATTGGATTCAGCTTCAATAACATTTATCCAACTAAAATTGCTTTTCCTATAATTTATTTCCCAATACCGTATGAATTTCCAAAGAATGTCAAGGTGGTGGTTTTAAAAATATATGTATTAAATTCTTCCCTCTCTAAATCGAATACAGTATGTCAGCTTCAATAAATCTGTTGTAAGCCAGTGCTTACTTAACCAGTGGGGAATGGAGGTTAGAGATTAAGGGCTGCCACCCTCCTCCACATGAATGGTCTCCCCTCACTGACCCCCAAGGTTTCTTAGCTACTAACAAGAGACCAAACAAGCTGTAGTTGAGTGAGATGGCAAGTGGTGAGACTTGCACCCCAGCCATTTCTTTCCATTCTTGTTATTGCTTTTTCTTGGATTTGGGGTTTTTTTGGGGAGGGGGTGTTAAAAATGTTTAAATAATTAAATAAGTTTCTGCTTCCAAATTCTCAACAGTTCAAACTAGTGTTACTCCTGTGATGATAAGATGGAGATAGGTTCCAAGTCAACCCACACATATTTTTCCCCCAATGTTTGAATTGCAGCTGGTCATTGCAAGAATTGTAAATATGGATCCTGACAGAGGTGCGTACAATGAAAATTGACTGAAAGGTGGTTACCCAATCTAATTTATAGCCCCATTTTCAAATTACAAAATTGAAAGGAGGGATTTGGAACATTCTTAGGAGTAGGATGTACACTCTGGAGAATGGACTTCAGTGGAGTACTATCACAATTCTGACAATTTGTTAGCTATGCTATAGAATGCTCTGAGAGAAAAATGATAGTTTTCTGCTGATTGGAATTGTGTGGGTGCTCCAGTAACTTTCAGCACCTCTGTCCTGAAAATGTGAAGGAAAGAAGGTAATATTATCTCAGTGGATTCAGGATAATTCTCCTTTTCCCAATTTTGTTATACATTATTTGGTCCCCTACCTCACCTGTAATAGATATGTACCCGTTATAGATAAACATAAGAGGTTAATCTTTTTAGACACAAATGTAAATTAATAAGTCATTCCCCAATGTATTTCAAAAGGTAGAATAATCAGAGTAAATTACACAAGGTTATCAGTAAAGAAGAAGAAACCCATCAACAGAAAGATGACATGGGAGAATATAAAACTGAATAAAATATGCAGACAATACTTTATTTGTATATATGCACATTTAAAACTATTTACTATTATTTCAATAGAAGTAAATACATTTCACCCTAGGGATCTGAGTACTTATTTATTCTGTTCTCCAAGGACTCCCTGCTGATGACCAATTCAAGGTCCTTACTTTTTTTTTTTTTTTGATCTGCAGGAGCCACTGCCCTCACCTCTCACCCTCAGCAGCCTCAAGTAGCATGGTCCAGGACCCAACTGACTCCCTGACCCTCTAATTTTTGAAACAAACTATAGCAACTTGGTGATGCTTTCCAATGCTTTCTTCTAGCTGACATTTTGCTCTGTCCTCCCAGAAGAACTACAGTCCCTCGTGAAGAAGCTGCCAGTGGATCGCTTCTTGAACGTAACTGCCATCTCCCAATATTGGGCAGTGGATCTTGATATTCAGCATCGCTATCAAAAACTGGGCATGACTTTGAAGATGCTGTCCAAGAAGAGCCATCGGATTGTCCGACGCCTTTTCAATCTGGCCAAACGCTGCCCCAGGCAACCTCGCTTCAAACTCCTAAAGGAGAGGTTAGTTAAATTAGGGAACAAATGTGATCATTGCACTGTAAATTTGATCCTCCAGATGTTTTGGCCTACACATCTACACTCAGGGATAATATTCAGGGAAAAGATAGTTGTAGGTGAAACTTACGGAAAGATCCATTTGGAGAAATGCTACCTTAAGCCCATTCATTTCTGGGGCTTAAGCGAGTTTGAATTCTATGTTGGATTGACTTTGGGAAAACTTCTGGGTACAGTTTTTGCACAACTGCTGCCATCTACCATGGAATTTCAGATCTGAAAAGCTTAGGAATACTAGCCATGTGGTGCAAAATGAAAAGCAATGGAATTCTGAACTGTACAGATTATGCAGTCAACATTCTCTTACCTTCATTCTGCCACCCAGTTTTGCATAGTAGTGGAATATCAAGTGTCATACATACATACCTTATGGGCATGTATTTCTGAAACTGTCCCACATAAAAAGTAAACATTTCCTTGTACATGGCACCAGCACATAAGCAACTGTTTGTGTTTGCTGTATGGAAGTCAGTGATCTGTGTATGATGATAGGGGGAACCCATTAAAGTAAGAAATGAAAAGAAGCTGCTATCTTTCTCCTGGCTTTTTATGTGATGTACATGCTGAAGTGCAGGGCTGGTTTTACTGGGACGCAAACCGAGATGGCTGCCTCAAATGCTAGACTATGGAGGGGGTTGATACTAAGATCCAGAATGTAGAAAATTGTTGCCGGGGCAAATGTATTTCCTTCCGCATAGAGGTGCAAGAAAGTACTGTGCTGAAGAAAGTGGGGCACAAGAGATATAACAGGAGGAAGTGAGAAGAAATAACATAAAGGAGAAACTTAGGGAGAGAGAAAGGAGGAAGACTCTTTTATATGTCTTTCCAGCACCCCCAGGGTCCTAGACTGATGAACAAAAGTTTCTCAAGAAGCTGCTTCCTTGAACCCACTTGAGAACAGAGAGTCAACTGCTCAGAGACACAGTAAGAAATATTAGTAGAAGACACTTGTCCTTAAGACACAAATATCTTTCCACATGGGCCCTGCTACCAGCCTACTTATTTTTTAGTGTTGAGAGAGAGGCACCATAGCTGGCACATAACAGCAACCAGGAGTGAAAGAAAAAAAAACCTCTGGGACAATGTTCAAAAAGAAACAGAAAGCAAAGGAAGTCTTTTATCTCAGCAGATTTTCTGAGATACAGAAGCACAAATGTTCATGATGACCCTTCTAGTTAGTCCAAGTGCAGTTGACCTGACAACTGCTCTCAAATGGATGTAACCAAGCACATTTCTGAAGAAAAGTCTAGGTCAGGGAAGAGTTTGGTAAGGCCACAAGAAACAGCTACTGTTAAATTAAATCTCTTAAATCTACCGTAGATTATCCAAGACTGTAGACCCATTTGAGCACTCGCCATGTATTACATGGGTTAGAGCAAGTGAAAAAATTCATGCTCCTCCAAAACAATAAAAATAGATGTTTCAGTTTATCCTATTACTGATGTGAAATCCCTAGCAGTGGCAAAGTATAGATGCCATGGCTTTTGTACTTAGTTACCCAGACTGTTCCAAAATGGTTTTGTTGCAAACTCTTCCAGTGTAATGCTCCAGCCACATTGGGTTCCTCAGGAACAAAGGGCTGTAAAAATCTGGCATAGAAATCTGGTGTGCCATGAGAAGTCAGTAAATCACCAAAGAACTTTCCATAAGTGGAAAGAGCTTAAGCAGACATCAAGATTAAAGGTCACCATAGATTATCAGCATCAAGAGAAAATTTCATCAGAATCTGTTCACAGGCAAAATGCTCTGAAAATATTCACTACAATTGTGAGAATGCTTGCTACCCCAAAGCTAGCACTGTGTGACATTTCACATCAGTTGTATGCTCCAAACAGTGGACATTTCCTTAAAATTGTAAAATTGATAGCTGAGTATGAAGAACAGTCATCCCCCCCAAAAAAATTCTACACCCCTTTTACTTTGAAAAAATAAAAAATGAAATAAAATCATAGAGTTACAGGCAACAAAAGCCAAACAGAAGATTGTGGCAAATACAAAATCAGCAGGGTATTATTACTCTGTTATTCTGAACTGCACACCTGACATCAGCCATATGGAACATGTGAATTGAATAATGCATTTTGTAATAGCAACACCCCCTTCATGGATCACTGCCTTGTCATGGCGAAGGGGCTTGCGTAACTCAGTGAAG